CAAATGGTTCCAAGTTGCAGATTGCCGTCATGAAATTGGCTGCAAGTTAGCTGCTCACTATATTCATAGCGCGGGCAGACTAAGTCAACTTTGTGTGATGTCAGCACCGCTCCGACCCCTGCTGATCGTTCGACAAGAGTGCCCAGAAACAGCGAATATATCATGGGACACACAGAGTCTGTGCCAGTTCCCAGCATCCGGCAGGGAGCACACAGTTGACCGCAGATAGTACCTGATCATGGGCACTGCTGTCGAGCGATCGGCAGAGGTCACGGACAGTCGGCTCACCCGAGGCGTCGGCCGTGAGAGAACGCGCGCTGGGAGGTCGGCTCCCCGTGGGCGGGTATAAGAGCGGTGTCGGGTGTCGGCATCACCACACACATACCTGCACCTCACGTCGAGCTCAGTCCAACCGCAGCTCCGTCATGTCTCGAGCAGTCGTCTTCGGCCTGACGCTGGCCCTCCTGGTGGCCCTCTGCCTGGCGCAGACGGCAGACCAGGGCCTGCTCAGTGGCTTCGGCCTCGGCTACTCTGGCTACGGACGGTACGGACGGCTGGGCGGACTCGGACCGGACGGCCGCCTCAGAGGGTACGTCGGATTGTACGTGCTGGTTTTTGTCGTCCAGTTATAAGCTTGCCTGGCATAAAATACTATTTTTGTCGATCCAGCTTTGGGTCTGTCAAGTGCTTGACCTCCAGCCGAGCGCATGCGGCACATAGAATGAAAACGGCTCCATTTTACTTGTTGGGTTCACTTCGAAGCTGCCAAGAGCCCGAATTTCTAAATAATAAATGACAAGAGAAAGCATTACAGTTAATGAGCAGCTTAAATTGCCATCGGTTGTAGTTTCACTACGTCCAACTCACATCTAGAGATCGTGTCAGAATGGCAACACGAACGTAAAACTCACTTAGGTTAAGCGGCGAAATGTAATGGACACGTACCTAGACAAAAGAAAACGTGGACTCGAGACCCAGTGCAGATGCATCCGAAAGCATGTCGACAGTGTTCTAGAGCTTTAATGGTGAAATGTAGCTCATGTTTTGCTAGTGGGTTTCATTAAGTGACTGTGTTAAGTGCTATGGAAATATGTGCTTGTGAGGTCGCTGATATGGGCGGTATTCCTGATAAGACTTTTAGGTACAAGTATTTCTAGGCCAAACTCAAAATACACCGAACAATCTACTGAACTTGCCATCTGTCAAATTGTGCATCATAATGATATTATGCGAGACATAACAAGTCAGCATATGTGTGTTCCGTCATGTTTTGTCATGTGATGCCTGTTAATGCTTGTAATGTCATTATGTGAGGCCTGTTAATGCCTGTTATGGAGTGACGTGATCCCCATATCTCATTCAAATGGACGTATTCGATGTTATGAGCTGGAGGTGAGCGTACTGAGTTCATGAGGAGTAAAGTATTACGTGGATGATGAGTAAATTATGAAAATTGGTAGATCAATAGCGTAACCATGTAATGTCGATGAGGTTTACACATAATTAGCGGTCAGTTGTTTCGTCTGAGTTGACTTTTTGGTTTCTTTAGCTCTGTCACTCTGTAATCATGGAAAACTGCTTTGTCCCCCTGTTCCATCTAGCGACACCATTCACTTATTGCATCCAGTAGATACCACCTACGAGAACCCCGGCACTGTTCTTGACTGTGCGGCTCATTGGTAGGTTCGCCGGCCCGCTGGGCGGGTACTCCAGCTCGGGCCGTAGCTACAACAACTACTGGAACGGCTACGACGGTCGCTACGGTGGTACGGCCACTTATCCGGAGAGTTACGGCAGCTACGGCGGCAACGGCTTCGGTGGCTTCTACTAGAAGCACGTTATCCGGCCCAGATTTCATCTGTTTTCTGTTGTTATTTCTTAATGTACTTTATATGCTTGTTCTCAACATCCATTTTCAACTTCTACTCAACCCAATCGACAAATTCATATTTGTTGTGTGGGTCAAGCTGACAATCGTCTACAGTGATGCGCCAATAATACGAAGCTGTAAAACTGGCTGCGATTTTTTTTATCACAGACACGTTCCGCCCTCTATAGAGGTCGCCTCCCATTCGCCTCTCACTCGGTTCAAAGACGACTCTCCCGTCCTGATTGCGAGAAGAAATGGCGTGAAAGGGTTCCTCCCTTCTTAAAGGGAAGAGTTAAAAGGTTAAGTGAGAGTTCTACATTTGTATGAGGTCTTGAACTGAAGTCGCTTTTTAAAGGTCGTTCGGTGCAGTTCATAGCCCCGCCATTCTTAAAACATAAACTCCCATAGTTTCTGAGCCACATGCCCGCGAAGATATGCAAACTATTTCGGGGAGACTGTTTCAACGTTAACCAGGCATCCATGACGCCATAATAACGTCATCCAAAACTTGCCATTCCATTGGTCACACGGATATCAAGACAAAGAAAAAGAATTGTCGTGCCGTTCATATCTGGCGTTCGTGAGCACAACTTTCAGATATAGCAGCCGTCAACTGGCTTTCAATCGGTGATGCGCAAGGTACGATGACATAATCAAACAATCACGCATTGAAGAGCATTTTTGCTAAACAGAGAAGTTGTACTGTCTGGAGCAGTCTTTTCCACTTCAAAGTATACCAATAGTTGCAAGTAAGCCTGTTTCATAATACTGATGCTTGCTTCGATATCTTTAAATGTGGAGCATTCCCTTTAGGCGGTATGACTGAGAAACGGTGCAGGTTTTTTCCCCACGGTGCTGAGTGTGATTTCCCGCGGTGCCTGCTTTTCCTGCTAGGGTAGAGGCTGGCGACGCCATACATCCTCAGCTGCTGACTGTGTCGTGAAGTATCAATGCATTCACTAGAGTAGGTGCCCCTGGACGGCTCAGCAGCTGCTCAGTCAAGGGGCAGTCATGGGGCTGGCACCGTCACGGACATCGAATGGCAGAGACAGCCGGCATTGGTCGGCATGGCAAGGTCTGTTCATCGCAGACTCCCGAGTTTCGTTCAAAGGGGGTAAAGTGCAGGATGGATCTTGCGAAACAGCACCGAGTGCACACATTTTGATCCGTCAATGACCGTTCCAGTCAGACTAATGCGACGGCACATAGTGGAAGCCTCCTCAGGTAAGATTTCTTTTACCCCCTTCTTTTACCCCTTTCAAGCGCTGATCCCACGAATTCACCTAAGCCTTGAAGGCCTTTAGTTCATGGATCGATGGCTGTAACTCGGTAGGACTGATCCATATGATTCGATCATACTGTTCGCAAGTAGCTGCACCTCAACATTGGTGCATTAATTCGGAAGAAATCCGCTATGCAAGGAGACATCGCTTTGCAAACACAAACGGCATTGCCTTGTTTTTTTTAGGCCTGCGAGTAGGATGAAAAAGTAAGCATACTAATGTGTCATTCCTAAACTGATCATACGAATGCGTTGGAAGTGCACGTATTCAAGGCAATGTGGCAATGAAACAACATTTCAGCACTTTACTACATAAAACAGGATGAACACGATAGGATACACCTGAAAAACATTACGGTACGTTGCTGTTTTTGGGGAGGAGAGTGAGCCGTCCCATACTGTTACTGCATGCATGTTAAATACTCACCAGGACCATGATATTGGGAAAAATGCATTCCTACATATGATGATGTATTCCGACTTTGGGAGCCCCGAGATACCTCGTTAGAGCGCAAGCATTTAGGGGAAGTGTAATGCTTTGACGTTTTTGCCGCAAAGCAAAGAATCGTGGATGCTTAAGACGAAGCTTATGAGAGAGCGGCCCACCCAAGGATGGTTTTCACAATCGATTGGAGGGGGTCTCAGCCAAAAAGATTGACGTCACCTTCCTCCAAAGCCCGATTTCAACCCGGATTTCGGGCACTTGAATTACAATGGCTATTCATTGTCATTTGCTTCCTCGATATCAGAGTTTAAGAAATTGTATTTCGTGGATTTAGAATCGTTTTCCTGCAGAGGAATGACTTCCCACTTCAAGTAAATGAGAGCCGCCTGTTTGTGAAAACTTATGCGAGGGTGTAATTCATCGAACAACATCTTAGTAAACCTTAGTAAGGGACCACTGGTGAATACTGCTGTCGCTGATCGTGTTGGGTAACCATCATTGTCAGATTATGCGACACATACGCTTTCTACTGTTGGGAAAAGCATGCGTTTTATCATGGCCACACTACTTTAAAAAGCTGCCACATTTTTCAGGTAATTGTTCTTCATTCTAATCCAGGCGGCATAATTTGAAAAACTTGTCAAACATTTGCGGACTGGCTTACCATATGAAGGAGTAAGCATGATAAAAACGTGTTGTACCTACAGGATGTTATCTGGTACGCAATCTACATAGTACTTATAGTGATGTGTTTAGGTGCGTACTACCTAGCATTCCAACAGTTAAGCCTATTGTTCTGTACTTTTTTGGCCCACTATTCCTCTTTGCTCATATGCATTGAGGGGGCTCAGAGGAGCGTGGGAGGACTCAAATCATCGTATGGGGCCTCAGACCCCCGAAAGTGTATAAAGTGGCCCAGCTCGGCTCACCACTTGCTAATGGACTGAGCCACTGGCAAGAACGGTAAATAGGAGTTTCTCAATTTTCTGTGAGCTCATCGAAGTGAAAGACACCACTTTGTGACAGGAGACAGCTGCGCTTCCCTCCCACAGAATTGTGGCGGCGCATGTGTGTGTAGCTACGCAGTACCAGTGTCTTATCATGCGTGTTTGCGGCGTGTTCGCAGTACGCCGTACGCGTGCGCATCCGTAGCGTTGATGAAATGCAAGTTTCCTTTCGTCTGTATGATTTAACACCTGCGTCGAGCCCCGCCGACACCATTCCAGCTGCACTATGTGATGCAGTGATTCCGCTGCGTAGCTCTGTCTTTGTCGACATTCAACCAATAGGACACGACAAGCTCAGCAAAACAAAGGCTGACAATGAGGAGCAGATTTCTGGCCTGTATTTATACGCGCACGGCTCCGGCTGCTCAGTATGTCAGTGTGTCGGTGTATCAGGAGTCACAATGACAACATTCTTGGTGGTCGTTCTTCTGGGTGTGGCCGCAGCCAAGCCGCCTCCGTCTCTGCTACGAAGACCACCGCCTTCCGTCCAGGATGTCAAGTCTCTGGAGCCCGTGCCGTTTGACCCTGGGATGGAAGTCGCACGCACTACTCTGTCTTGTGGTGCCCATACTCTGGCTACAGGAACATACACGATCACATCACCGAACCACCCTTCCAACTACGAAAACAACTACGACTGCCTCTACAGCCTCACGGCGGGTTCAGGTGCTGAAACTCTATCCATCAGCTGTTCTGCGTTCAACATTGAGTCTCACAGCTCCTGTGGATGGGATTGGCTGCGAGTGAACGGAAACAAGTTTTGTGGTACCCAAGGTCCCTCTGTCTCCAACAGCGGGGCCCTAAGCATTGACTTCCATGCCGACTACTCTGTAGTCAGGAGCGGGTTCTCCTGCACCATCACAGCTGGGCCCACGTCCTCCTCCGACTCCCTGACCTGTGGTGCCCACGCTCTGGCGGTGGGTACCTACACGATCACATCACCTAACCACCCTTCCAACTACGAAAACAACTATAACTGCCTCTACAGCCTCACGGCGGGTTCAGGTGCTGAAACTCTATCCATCAGCTGTTCTGCCTTCAATATCGAGTCTCACAGCTCCTGTGGATGGGACTGGCTGCGAGTGAACGGAAACAAGTTTTGTGGTACCCAAGGTCCCTCTGTCTCCAACAGCGGGGCCCTAAGCATTGACTTCCATGCCGACTACTCTGTAGTCAGGAGCGGGTTCTCCTGCACCATCACAGCTGGGCCCACGTCCTCCTCCAACTCCCTGACCTGTGGTGCCCACGCTCTGGCGGTGGGTACCTACACGATCACATCACCTAACCACCCTTCCAACTACGAAAACAACTATGACTGCCTCTACAGCCTCACGGCGGGTTCGGGTGCTGAAACTCTATCCATCAGCTGTTCTGCGTTCAACATTGAGTCTCACAGCTCCTGTGGATGGGATTGGCTGCGGGTGAACGGAAACAAGTTTTGTGGTACCCAAGGTCCCTCTGTCTCCAACAGCGGGGCCCTAAGCATTGACTTCCATGCCGACTACTCTGTAGTCAGGAGCGGGTACTCCTGCACCATCACAGCCGAGTCCGGATCGGGCGTCACGACTCAGCCCCCCTCGGGCAGCTGCAGCTGCGGCGTGGCCAACCGCGCCTCCCGGGTGGTCGGCGGCGTCGAGACCGAGGTCAACGAGTACCCGTGGCAGGCGGGCCTGGTCAGCCCCGGCGGGACCCGCACCTGGTGCGGCGGCAGCCTCATCAACGACCGGTACGTGGTGACGGCGGCCCACTGCACCAGTGGCAACACCGCGTCGCAGATCCAGGTGCTGCTGGGCGACCACCGCATCAGCGTCACCGACGGTGAGTCGCGTCACACCCTCAGTCACATCATCGATCACCCGTCCTACGTGACGCACAGCCAGGGTTACGACATCTCCCTGCTGAAGCTGTCCAGTCCGGTGACGTTCAACAGCCGGCGGGCGACCGTGTGCCTGCCGACCGCCGGCCAGACGTACGCCGGTGCCACGGCCATCGCCACCGGCTTCGGCCGGCTCGGCGCCTCGCGGCCGCAGGCTACGGAGCTGCAGGAGGTCGAGCTGCCAGTCCGCTCCGAAGCTCAGTGCAGGGCCGTGTGGAGCTTCGTCACTGAAACCATGATCTGCGCCGGCGGCCTGCCTGCCGGCGGCAAATCCGTCTGCATGGGCGACAGCGGCGGTCCGCTCGTCACGCTGGAGAACAGCAAGTACGCCCTGATCGGCGTCGTCTCGTTCGGCCGGCCGTGCGCCGTGGCGAACACACCCGACGTCTTCGCCAGGGTTACAGCGGTGCTGTCCTGGATCCAGAGCAGCACGACCGACGCTACCTACTGCAGCTAGAGTACGGTGGTCCGCCCGACCGCCGGCCACCCTGGATCCAGAGCAACACGGCCGACGCCACCTACTGCAGCTAGAGTACGGTGGTCCGCCCGCCCGCCAACCTGAGCTGACGGGAATCTTTGAACCTGTACTCGATTGCCGTGCATTTCGTCTGGAGCAAGTGTGGGTCATAGTTTTGAGTTCTGTCGGTTTGTAAGAGCCATTTTGTTGCACTGTAACATTCACCATTCTTTTTTATTTCATGTCACAAATCTGTGTTGACAGGTTTGCTTGCTTGCTTGGCTCGCTTGTTGGGATTGGGACAAATTAGTATAACCTGTAACTCTGGCGCACCTGCCTATACCTATGTATAACCTGTACCTATGGCGTCTCCCCACGTTGACTTGGCAAGCATAAAATCATTAAGTACGTAATATATCGAAACATCAAGGTGGACTACATGTTTTGCGAAGAAACGAAACCTTCGGAGGTCATTTTCACCTAGATCCAACGATGCAGCTCAGTTGCCAATCTCCACGTTGACAAATGAAACCATACACATAAATCTAGTAAGCACAAGCACGTTAGAACAACACCATACGCTCGCCAGCACGCCATTATTGTGTATTATGCATGATGCAGTTGCAAGCCGTGCGAACAGTTTGGATTGACGTCAGTTTGACTGACGTGCATTGAGCCACAGTTGCCAATGGCCTAATTCCTCTCTCTCTCCTCTCTCTCTCTCTCTCGCTCTCTCTCTCTCTCTCTCTCTCTCCTCTCTCTCTCTCTCTCTCTCTCTCTCTCTCTCTCTCTCTCTCTCTCTCTTCTCTCTCTCGCTCTCTCCTTCTCTCTCTCTCTCTCTCTCTCTCTCTCTCTCTCTCTCTCTCTCTCTCTCTCTCTCTCTCTCTTCTCTCTCTCTCTCTCTTTCTCTCTCTCTCTCTTCTCTTCTCTTCTCTCTCTCTCTCTCTCTCTCTCTCTCTCTCTCTCTCTCTCTCTCTCTCTCTCTCTCTCTCTCTTCTCTCTCTCCTCTCCTCTCTCTCTACTCTCCTCTTCTCTCTCTCTCTCCTCTCTCTTCTTCTCTCTCTCTCTCTCTCTCTCTCTCTCTCTCTCTCTCTCTCTCTCTCTCTCTCTCTCTCTCTCTCTCTCTCTCTCTCTCTCTCTCTCTCTCTCTCTCTCTCTCTCTCTCTCTCTCTCTCTCTCTCTCTCTCTCTCTCCTCTCTCTCTCTCTCTCTCTCTCTCTCTCTCTCTCTCTCTCTCTCTCTCTCTCTCTCTCTCTCTCTCTCTCTCTCTCTCTCTCTCTCTCTCTCTCTCTCTCTCTCTCTCTCTCTCTCTCCTCTCTCTCTCTCTCTCTCTCTCTCTCCTCTCTCTCTCTCTCTCTCTCTCTCTCTCTCTCTCTCTCTCTCTCTCTCTCTCTCTCTCTCTCTCCTCTCTCTCTCTCTCTCTCTCTCTCTCTCTCTCTCTCTCTCTCTCTCTCTCTCTCTCTCTCTCTCTCTCTCTCTCTTCTCTCTCTCTCTCTCTCCTCTCTCTCTCTCTCTCTCTCTCTCTCTCTCTCTCTCTCTCTCTCTCTCTCTCTCTCTCTCTCTCTCTCTCTCTCTCTCTCTCTCTCTCTCTCTCTCTCTCTCTCTCTCTCTCTCTCTCTCTCTCAACAGTTTTCGATAGGCGGACAGAGCCATTTTTGAATCTCGCGCCCAACCATAGCGTAGCTCGTAGGTAAAAATACACAAAGTCACAGCCTATGAAGCCTTTGTCACTGGGCATACCACGCTTACACGCTGCTGTTGCCAACTGGCCGAGATGATGGCATGCAATGTGCTGTAAAGAAGGTACGATTCTGTGAAAAGATATGTTTGCTGGCTTCGAGGAAGCGGCATTCCTCGAAGCTGGGAGGGGAGGTGGAGATAGCCATTTGGATTACTTCTTTCCAGTTAACACCCATAGGGCAAATGTTAAATTTTTAGCAAGTTGTTTGGGTCTCAGTCCCTGCCTTTCTCTCTGGTTCACTCTCCCCCCCCCCCCCCCCCGCTCTCTACTCTTCGGGGATCGCCGCACAGCTCATGAGCAATTGGCTGATCCTTTGGGAGGAAGCCAGCTATTAAACGCTCACTTTATCGCCCTTTTTTGAATTCAGATATGTTGATGGTTTTACGACCTCGTCTCCCTAGTAAAAATTGGTGGTGCTGCCCCTGTCGACAGCGCTGCAATTGGGTTATCAGCTCCTAGTAGAACACACTTGCCCGGTTAGCATATCCATTTTATTCCGTCGACTGCCATGCAGCGTTCCCTTTGCCGACGTCGGATCAGGCGCATGGGAATTTGCAATGTTACGACATCAAATTTTGAATGATGATGATGTTGGTTTATAGGCGTATTGTGGCCATTCCGCTCGTGCCATCCAGTAAGACATGAACTCACGCGCTTGGTTTGCCGCGGTGGACTCGGCGGCAGAGTCATTTTAGCCTCATAAACTGCGGGAAGCAAGCGTTGGTCACTTTGCACGAAGACGGAGGCGAAAGCGCAAAATATCCGCGGCATGTGTCACCCCTTACCAAGTCCATGACATGCATAAAAGGGAGCGCCCCACCTTTGGAGGATATTTCAAAAACATACTCCGGTGAAACCTCAGGACTAGTTACGTCTGATGATAGCACTGGGCATTGTCATTGTACCACCGTCAAGATGTAATAGCAACATTAATTATGATTTCTTCCGAGTCCAAGCTACGCTGTTAACGTTTTGTAACAGCAGTACGCCTCCGCCATTTCCGCAGTACGCTTCTCTGTCGCGACCACCGTCGTCATGACAACGACAGCGAGCGCATCTGCTGGTGCGAAGAAAGGAACGTTTGTAATCGGCTCGGCGGGAAGGGGCCTATTACCGAGCAACACATTGGTTGAAGTTTGAACCAGTGCGTCACATGGCCATGCGATATTCCCATTCTCAAAGCCAACGTGCGCCTCAAAAAGACCCACTGCGGTTAAAAGCCATAGGGAAAATATCAAAGCCATAGTATAACGTTTCGTCAAATTCATGGGACAATAGATTCATGTTTGCATATTTATTTGTCTAGAGTGTTTCAAGCTTTCGTAGCATTTATTACACAAACATTTTGATGCAGTGGTATGTTGCAAACATTACAGAACACACACGTTGGAAAAACCAAGGTAAATGTTACGGCGTAAATGTTACGGCGAGTATTCCTTCCATAATGGTCAGCAGGAAGTCAAATCGGATTTCTCTCGCGGGTCGGCTACTTCAAATCGAAATTCTGAGTTAATCATACGCATTTCGAGAAAACTGATATTGCTGATCAAATCGTACGTGTCTGGTGTAACAAGTAAAAAGTGCAACAGGGATGAGATGTTCTCTTTAATATGTACGCTATCATACGTTAACAGTAAACAAATTCGGGTGGACACACAAGTAAGAGCATGCAATGATATTTTGCTGCACGCAAAAAAAAACTCGTTCACGCCTGCGACGCACTGCACTCGGTTTTTAAGAAGCAGTTTTTGGTCGTGTCCCTCCCCCCTACTGACTGCGCATAAAAGTAAGCCATACATCTGGAGTTATCGCAAAGATCAGGATGGCATGACAGTGTTAGCGAATGTCACCGATCCATAGCGTATGTGACACACCTTCCTATCACAGATGAGGGATGGATGAGGTCCGTGACAGAATGTGAAACTACACATCTGGCCTGGTGTTAACAAGAACGCAACATTACTTCTACTGCGATCAGCGCCACACGACAAAACTGATATTTCGAACACGTATACAGGTCATTGGAATTTGTTTCCAAAACAACCGTCCTTAGTTATACGCCAAGCACGGCAAGTCGAGAAAATGACACGAATGCACTTGTGAAGTATAATTTGTGTCGTGTGGCAATAAGCCCGTGTAAAAATTTTCGCAGGGGAAGTAATGTTGTATAGAAACAATGGCTTTAACGATGCTGTAAAGTAATGGCTTTAGAAGTAATGATGTTTTGAAGCGGAAATAATGGAGGACATAGGTCTTTGAAGCCTGATTTCGGTCATTTATCACTAATGTCGCGTAAGAATATTTGTAGAAGAAGAAAGTAATGTTGTGTTTGAAAGGTACGTTTCACGTTTCAAGATATCGAAGCAAAAATCAGGTATGATGAATTAAGCACACTTTAACTATTGGTACACTATTAGATAGAAAAGACCATTCTAGACAACACAATTTTTCTGTTAAGTACATATGCTCACCGAAACGTCATCGCTTAATTGCGTCGTCGTGCCTTGCACAACACTGATGGGGTCCAATTGACGGTTATTATGTCTGGAAACTGTGCCCACGAATGCTAGATATAAACGACTCGATCATGATATTTTTATTGGCCTTGATTGTCGCATGACTAACAAAATGTCAGGATCTGAATGGCTTTATTACGACGTCATATATACCAATGTGACGTTGAAAATACTTCCCGGAAATAAAACGCCCCATCTTCACGGGCGTGTAACTCAGAAACTGCAGCGGGTTGGGTCTTGAGAAGAGCAGTGCTGTGAGCTGCACTGAATGATCTTCAATATGGCTACTTGAGTTCAAAATCTCAAACAGATGTGGAACACTCCCTTTAAAGAATAACTGTCTATGTAAGTAAGATTTTGCATTAGAAGTTAGACCGGGCATCAGTTTTTGAGGCATTAATTTTGTCCTTAAGCACCAATTCCCCATAAATTTAATGTCAGGAGACATGTTGTCGCGTATGAGGTATAACTGAATAAGTTTTTTACCAGAGGTATTGACCGGTATAGGCTTCAGCGTATAGGCTTTTGTAAGTTTTGTCGCGTAGCACTAATTTGGCAAATGGGTATTGACAGTAGAAGTTATGTCGTAGCATTCTTGCCAGTATGAGGTTTTGCTGTAGCAATGATGCCATAAAACCCTATGCAGAAACCATGCATCACCGCGACTCTGATCTCTGCCTGAAACACTTCCAAGACCTGGTCGGGCGAAAGCTACCGTCAAATCCATCGTTTCACAGGCGGAAG